TGTTAAGGAAATGATTTACTACAACTTAATAGTACCTAATCGTTTAAAGAATAATGCATGTTTGATAATATTAATTTTCTATTAAAAGTTGCCCTTTTTTTAAAAAATTGAATAAAATTTATAATTTTTTTTTTGGCTATTTTTTCAAAAAAGTATGCTAACCCGGGGCTAGTACCACTTATTCTTTTTGCACATAAAAAAATTATGGTATTATCTTTAAAATTGTGTCTTCTAGGATTAAACCAAAATGCATATTTATACAAATTTCTTCCTATGGTCAGCGGTCAGCGAAGCAATAACTCTTAACAATATTACGAAAATCAGTTTTCTTTACTTTGACATATTTTTAAATCCAATGAAAACAATACAGAGTGGAATAAAAATGGTAACTTTCGTTAAGTTTATTCTGCCATCTATTTTAAAGGACGCACTTTAACTGCGGAAACGCATGGGACAGGTATAAAGGTAATAAAAAAGGGATTTAATCCCTAACTAGAACTGCGGACACGGTCTATGAGTTAAATGGACTATTCTCGTTTATAAGTTCGGTTTTTCAGACGACATTGCTATATATTTTATCAATCAGACACGTGGGAAAAGTTGATTTTAATATTATATTGACTTTAAAGTCAAAAAAGGTTTATTTTTAGTTGTTTTCTTTTCACAACTGGTGAAATAATGAACGTTTTTAAGGCTGCGACATTTGATCCAGCGGTTTTGCAACAAAGCAAATATTCAATACATTGTACATAGATGACAATACCTGTACCTGTAGCTCGTATAACAATTTTATTTTTAAGCGTACTTGTTTTTATATCGAGGTTGCCAAATCTAGGTAGACAGATACCAATAAATGTTTTAGAAGAATAATATATTTTGCGATATCCAGTTTCAATTTAATAATTGCACTGTTACATGAAAAATTAATCTGTCAAAACTTGTACCTAGTTGGTAAGTAGTAAGTAGGTTAAATGTAACAAGAAGAAAAAAAAAATTAAATTTAACTTTAGAATAATATTTCAACATTTATTAACATTATTGGTATATTGTATTCACTTGTAAACTATATTTGACGGTCATAATAATAATTTTAATCCTAAAGAACCGGGTCAATTGAACTTTTCCACATCGCAATTTTTGGGTTGGAGTGAAAGGTATTTTATGGTTGGGTAGAAATTTTATTACTTTATGGTTTTTCCTAATCCGAAGGGTTTTGTTTACATTTTACCTAAAAATTTGCAAAACTTCTATAAATATAAATCGATTATTTTAGAATTTAAATGATTCCTCGATTCATTTCGGTAATAAAATAAGAATTTTTAATTTTGTATGCCTACTTATTAGGTAATGGTACCTCTAAAATGCATAATGATATTACTTAAGTAAAAATATAATTTGACAATAGCGTGATCGCTCATGCTTTTGTTGATTAGACAGAAATTGTGAAACTTAACAATCGATTGGATCGATTATTGTGAATTTCGGAACTAAGCAACTGGTAGTCTCTGGCAGTGTTGCCAGATGAAAAACAAAAAATATGGTATCCGGCACTTAAAAAAATGGTATTTTTACTGACAAAAAATGGTATCTTGAATAATCTTGATAACACCAAATAATAAAGTTTTACACACATATAGTTTATTTGAAAATGCATGATAGCACAGTTTTTATTGGAAAGGTCTATATTTTTATATAATTTTGCTAAATAATACATATATTATAATACCGCAAATAACGAAATTACCCCCAAATCTAATTAAAATGCTCACAAATTCCTCACACAGAGTTTGAAATACAATTTAGATTAAAATCCATAAAAAGATTTTTTTTTATTTGTAGATATGAACAAATAAAAAATTAAAGTAACATTCAAATTTTATTTTAAACTATGATTTAAATAAAGTATTATTGAGAGCAAGAGTGGAAGAACAGAGAATAGGCAGTAGGGTCATTATGATCTTACTGAACTGAGCAAATTTGCCAGATACTCAGTGTATCCTTTGTAATAATATTTTTTTTATTGGTCTTCGGCTACGACAACTTAAGTCATTAACCTCGTGTTCTATGTACGTAATGGAGAGTACTAGTGGTCTCTTACTCCATAGTGCAGGAGACTAGTACTCTAATATTCCTGCATCCTTACAGACATGCCTTGTAACTGTTTACCAGCACCACTTTAGGAACAGCACTGTCAATAAGAACCCGACCGTGAATAGACGGAGTGAGGAATCCTACCTATGATTCAGAATTATTTTTAACTAAATTAAATTAAAACAAATCCCTGCCATATTGGTGAGATTCGAACCGTGGATCCTTCGATTCGAAAGTCCAGAGTCTAACCACTGAGCCATCCACTCCCTATTAATAAAATTCTAATTACAAACCTTTTAGTAATTTATACCTATAACCTATCGGTAAGTATATTATACAGTGCATATATGGATGTATAGGTTGGAATAAATTCAATATTTTTCTGTCCACAGGTCCACTGCGCGTCTTATGCTACAATGTCATCGATATTAGTACATTATTTGTAGAGTAAATTAAAAATTGACTTGAAAGTACTGCGTTATAATACTGTTAGGCAGAAAAATATCGAATTTATTCTAACTTATACAATACATCCTCACTGTACCTACCTGTGACCATTCCTGTTACTTAGTAGAGTAGAGATGTACCTACAGAGTGCTACGTTTTACTCGTATTATTATATTGAAACAAATAAAAATCTAAGATTTAAAAAATGGTAGTAAAATGGTATCAGTAGCCCAAAAATGGTACAAAAATGGAAAATGGTATCCTCAAAAACTTGCAGGTATCGTAGTAGAAAAAATGGTATAAATACCATAATAATGGTATACCTGGCAACGCTGGTCTCTGACAACTGACAAGACAAAAAACTCAAATGTCGAAGGATTGAAGTCTAAACGACAAAACGTAAACAGTTCGTTTTTCGTGTTTGAATTTTGGCAGATTTTTGAGTGGGTGTTGTTATTTTTTTGTGCTTTTTCGTTATTCGTGATTTTGTTACTTTTATAAGACTTCATTAGTTATAAGGATATTTAGTAGTTAGTGAATAAACTTTTACCTTATAAAATATGGGGCATCATACAAATGTCCCGAGTAGAAAGAGGAAGAGATAAGATGTGCAATTGGAAAGTCATGTGTTCCCAAAAGTCGTTTGGTTTCAAAGTTCCTCAAGGAATAAAAGTGTAACAAAAATTTAATGTTGAAAGATATATAAAGGATTCATTTCCAATATTTTTGACATCTGTATTATATTTTAGGTTGTTTTTATTGTAATATACTATAATCTTTTTTCTAATAAACTACTTTTTGTTTTATGTCTAATTATTTTTATATTTCCTTCCACCCATGTCCTATCAATAATTATTTTTGCAATAAACAAAAATATTTCGGTATTTTTGCAAGTTTTAAATTAGTTTTTATTAAAATTGCTCATAAACCGATACAATTAACATTAATAAAACTGATTATAATAACTACTTCAAACAAACTCAAATTTAATATTGCAGAAAAATATCCATTTGTACACCACTTCATTGGCTTCAATTCTTAAAATTAGTCTTCATGACACGTATATGACATACAGTGAGTGCAATAAAGTTGGGTCCATATATATATGGCAATTTGTTTTAATATTATGACCGGAAAAAACGTCATTTGCCTCTGTTATTTAAAAAGTTGGCTACGTACGTTACTTACCTGTCAAATTTGTAATAATTTTGAAAAATCGCTCAAAAATCCTTTTTTAAACGAGACTGACAGAACTAAATCCAGTAGTCAAATTTAATATGGGTTGGTTTAAGTTTTTAAATAACCAGAGATGATGGTTTACGATGTTTTTCCAATCGTAATATCAAAAAAAAAATCACATATGGATCCAACTTATTGACACACACTGTATAAAGCAGGTTTGAGAACGTACAAAACTATATTTTTTTTTAATTCTTGTCAACTAACAAAAGTGCTTGTGCCTTAAAATCTTCCCGATTTTGTCCATGGAGAAAGATTTTGTCACTCAATAAATATCTTTAAAACCATTGTAAACATACATAGAACGGCAACGTCGTATTATCATTGATTATCATATACAAGTATATTTGAGCAACGGTTCGTATTGTACTTTGAAATAATTTGACATGCCGTTTGCATTTCTAATTGGTCAACCAATAATTTGACATAAGACGTTTACTTTTCTGATTGGCAACTATTAGTTGTCGCCCAAGTTTCAATGCATATGTTAACTCAGCTCTGCATGTCGCATTGGTGGTGAACACGATGTACTAAAATGACATGATAATTAACGCGTCAATTTTAAAAATTGTGTCAAAATTTGCAAATTGAAATCATGCTTTTTGTAATAATTATTAGACCGACAGCCGTCATATTGTAGGATAGTTAATAAAAAATCATAGATAATTCATTGAAAACAATTTGCTTAATCATCCTTGCAATAAAATTTTTCAAGTTTTTAATGATAATTTGAAATTATGATTAGTTATTATCGAATATGTGTATATTCAATTCATTCTTACAACATTTCTGTTTATAATTATAACTCAATTTCCTTGTAATTTTTCTTTATTAATCTAAAAAGCATGATTTAGTAACACGTTGTAAAATGACAAAAACGGCCGCCATTTTTAGTCCATATCCCAGCCTTAAGGTGGCACAAAATACAACAACTTGGTCTGAGCACAGAATGTAAAGACCTAATTTGTTGAAGATTTCATGGCCGAGAAGCCAGATGATGAAAGAATTACTCACTTTTGTGCCTATTTAGTGAATACAATATGTAGATATTAACTATGTTTCCATCCAAAATATGAGCAGCTAAAACTTCTTTTACTTATAGAAATACCAATACATACAGTACTATAACATGCCCTACACCTCTAAAGTTATTTTTAGAGTAGGTAAATAAACATTTCTTTCTTTCTATACAATTTTTTTTAATATCCATCATTTTCTTTCAGTCGTTCACCAACTTTTATCCATTGGTAGTTCATTTGTCAGTATGGCTTGGGCGATGGCGTCTTACCAGAGACTTTTGAGAGTCGCTTTGAAAACTAAAAACAATATCTCTTGGCCTGGAACTATTGTCCAGTTTATGTGGCACTTTTTAGTTACCGGTAAGTGATTTATTTACAATATATATAGCTTATTGTTTATTGTAAGATGTTGATCGATTACTTGTAACAAAACATACATTTTAAAACAAATTATGCAAAATATAGATGTCATATTGAATGGAAAATATAACAATTTCAATGCCATACTTTTCATACCATAAATATAGTAGTATTTAATATTTAAAAATATTTGGAATGCGTTTTATTACTGCATCTAGACATTTTAAAAATACTTTTGTTTATAATTAGAATTCTAAGAAGTTTTGCCAACATTTTTTTTAATGTTAGATATTTTAATGCATTATTTAATTTTTATCATAATTATAGATATAAAAGTGAAATGATTTGCACATCATTGAATAAAAATAATTTCTTCCACTCAATATTTGTTTTTCCAGAATTGAAAAATTGCGTATATTGCAATTATATAATTTTATAGTTGAATAAATGTTTATTAGGAAATATTCTCATGTTTTGAATTTACTGAGATACGGTTCAGAGCATTAATATAATTAACATTATTTATTAATTTTTCTAATATCGATTTCATATTTATATCTGGTTAATTAAGCCGTGTGACATGATACAAAGGAGGATATAGTACATTTGTTTTTATTAAAAACGCGATTACATTGGTTTTGTTTTTGTATAATTTATAGTTTGATCAATGACTATCAGTCAACAGCGATAATTATACTTTGATCTGGCTATATTTATATTTTTTAGTTACATTATTATTCCCAAATGACGAGAATCTGATAGTGAAATAATTAGCTTTTACTAATGCGGAATAGTGATATTATATTTTAAATAAAAAAAGAAAAAATTAACTAAATTTTTTTGAAATACCGTCTATAAATTGACACATTTTAACAACTTATAACTCAAAAACGAAAAAAGATATCGAGATGCAGTTTTCACTAGACCTTTTACATTTACTTCAAGTTTTTCTTGACATTGTTGTCACATGTAATTTTTTTCTGGAAAGTGCCGAAAAAAAAACGAACTTTTTTGAATCAAAATTGTGAGCTTATTTTAAATAGAACACCCTACAATTTTTAACATCCTCGGAAAGACCGTTTCTTTCCCTTTCCAAAAATGTATTCATTGTAAGCATTTATTCAATTTTTTTGGGAAAAATTTACTTTTTTATGAAACCATGTCGATAACTTCTAAACGTAAAGTATCACAATTTAAAAGCCTTTAACTCGATAATGTGACAATTTATTGATAAGAGGTTTTGACTAAAATTCTGGGAAATGTTTAATTTTTTTATAAAATGGTTGTAAAGTCTCAAATGTCTAAAATTTTCGTAAAATATTACTTTTACCAATTCATATTAAGGGCTTATGATGGATAAAATTCTTCGTATTTGTAACGTTTATTTGCAAACCTTTATCCATAAATCATCATTTAAAAGAATGTCTTAAGCGTTTTCAATATGTACCTATATCTGTTTTTTTTGTCTATTTAATATTCCTCTTTTTGTAAATTAACTTACTCAGCTTTGGATAGAATATGAATGAGTCAATAAATGATACTAATAATTTATCAAGGGTGCTATGTAAAACAAATCGAGTTGACAGAAGTCTATACATATTTGTATTAATTAGTGCAAGAGAAAGCAGGTATTAAAAAATGTTTACCAAAAGTGAAAAAGCCCGGTGCGTTTTACTTTATATTGAAAGTAGATCAATTACACATACACAAAGAAGATTTAGAAATGTGTTTGAAAAAAATTCGGGTAAGTCAGTTTAAAGAAACGGGAAAATTAGTTAGAAAAAAAAAAGATAAATTGAAAACGCTCAAGATATTATTTTAAATGATGTTATGCAGATAAGGGACGGGTGTGAAGTTATCCACATCCACAAATGTACACTGAGAAAAATATAACTCTATCGTAATAGTCATATAACTTGGTTCAAATTACCTGTAGAGGCTTTTCATTTGTAGATTTCAATTGGGGAGGTTTCAATACACAGCAACCATACCCGCAATTAACTTTTGCTTTGTCTCAGGGGGTGCAATTGGGGGTGAACTTTTAAAAAAAATCATAGAAGCCACAAATGGCTTTGTACACCTTTCTGATTGGGATATGTTATGTAGTTTACTCTTTTCTTCATCCCTGATACCATGCTGGAGTTTGTCGAGCCGTCTGAGGGGGTGCAATTGGGGATGAAATTAAAAAAAAACATGGCTTTGTACACCTAGCAAACTACATAACATATCCCAAGCAGAAAGGTGTACAAAGCCATTTGTGGCTTCTGTGATTTTTTTTTAATTTCATCCCCAATTGAACCCCCTCAGACGGCTCGACAAACTCCAGCATGCTATCAGGGATGAAGAAAAGAGCAAACTACATATCCCAAGCGGAAAGGTGTACAAAGCCAGTTGTGGCTTCTATGATTTTTTGTTTAATTTCACCCCCAATTGCACCCCCTCAGACGGCTCGACAAACTCCAGCATGCTATCATGGATGAAAAAAAGAGAAAATTACATAACATCACAAGCAGAAAGGTGTACAAAGCCATTTGTGGCTTCTATGATTTTTTTTAAATTTCACCCCCAATTGCACCCCCTGAGACAAAGCAAAAGTTAATTGCGGGTATGGTTGCTGTGTATTGAAACCTCTTCAATTGAAATCTACAAATGAAAAGCCTATACAGGTAATTTGAACCAAGTTATATTACTATTACGATAGAGTTATATTTTTCTCAGTGTACATTTGTGGATGTGGATAACTTCACACCCGTAGATAAGGGAAATTTTAGCAAGAAACAATAATAAAATATCTATTAGAAAAATTGCCCAATCCATACATATGTCAAAGAGTAAGGTGCATAAAATTTTAAAAGTAATCAAGTTTAAAGCATATAAGGTTCAGACTTTTCATAAAATTGAAAATCATGCATTTGAAAAGAGAGTTTTTATGTGTGAGACGTTATTAGATTTATTTAGACATCAACCAAATGTAAATCTAATAATGTCAGATGAAGCAACGTTTCATTTAAGTGGACGCGTAAACAAACACAATTGTAGGATTTGGGGGGACGAAAATCCTAGAGCTTTCAACGAGTTTGAAAGAGATGCTCCCAAGGTAAATGTATGGTGTGGTGTGTCCATCGAATGGGCTCCATATTCTCCGGATTTAACTATACCAGATTTTTTTATATGGGGGTATGTTAAGGAAAGATGCTACGATCAGGGCCGACTAGGGGGGGGGCAGCCGGGACTAATTCCCGGGGCCCGGACTCAAATAGGAGCCCGGCAGCGGTATTAGGAGAGCCCGGCAACCGCGGCGAGGTTTTTGTTTTCTTTCAGAAGTTGGTCACTAGACAAAAGGGGGAAGTTTTTGCTTGTAGATTTTTTTTTGTTTAGAAAATTCAATTCAAGTAGGGGAGGAAAAGTTTTTGTTTGAAGACCTTTTTTTTTTAATTCGAATAGGGAAGGAAAAATTTTGTCTTGGGGCCCGGCCTGGCTCTCGGCGGCCCTGGCTACAAACTTAACTGAACTGAGGAATAATATAATTCATGTGTTTAATACAATTACCCCAGAAATGCTGCAAAATCCATTTACAAATTTTTTAATGCGTCTGCATACATGTATTGAATAAAATGGAGGCCATATTCAACAATTAATGTATTAATGTTTTAGTACATATTTTTGTATTCAATAAAAATTCAGATAGGTACCAACATGGTGGGACACCACTTACGCCACAAAAATCCGTGTGGTATGAGGTGCTCCCCTCTGTCTTTATAAGTAAAATATCATTACTTGATATTATTCTGAAATTTATACCTAAGGGCAATGAAAAACAGTATTGTGATGTTTGTTTACTTAAAAACAACAGTTAATTTATTAATAATTTATTTAAACACTTATTTATTTATAACACTATTATTCTAATTTAGATATACTTCGAATGTCTTTAAACTAATCACTATTTATATTCACCACTGTCTATAAACTGATTACTATTTATCTTCACTGTCCATATAAAAACTTGATTGCACCGAGTTCTTCCGCCAATTTATATACAAATTTTAAAAAAAATGGTGGGGGCTCCAGAACGTTCTAGTAATTTTCACATATTCTCTCCAATACACTAGAAACATTATCTCGTCCTTTCTCAAACATCATCGAAAACACGTCCACCATAGTCGTCCCATAGGTTTAGTCTTAAGGGGTTCAATTATGTATAATAAGCGGACAAGTTGAGCCTCAAAGGCCAAATAATACAGAGAGGGACTTGGAGTATTAGAGCATGACTGAATAATGAAATGGCTCACATTACAGTATCTTATCAATGATCGTTCGATGTAAAACGTCAATTTATATTTCGATATGTGCCACCAAAATGTAATAGACACCGTTAACATTAATTTAATTACCTAAAATTAAAACCTATTAAAGCAATAAAAAAATTATAAAAAATTGACTTTTTTTAAAAGGCGAAGAAATAAACTAATCTAATGACTATGAGAGATACGAAATGGTTCATTCGCCATAAGACCTTAATCTGAGTTTAATTTTTTTTTACGAAAACTTTACAAGTTAAAGATTTGGCAACTATGTCAGAAAAAAATTTAAACATTTCCAAGAATTTTGGTGAAAACCTTTTATCAATACATTGCCTTACTCCCAAATTATAAGTTAATTAATTGTGATACTTTACGTTTGGAAGTTATTGACATGGTTGCATAAAAAAGTGAATGTTTCCCTAAAAAATAAAGTAAATGCTTACAATGTATACATTTTTGGAAAGGGGAAGAAATGGTCTTTCCGAGGATGTTAAAAATTATAGGGTGTTCTATTTAAAATAAGCTCACAATTTTGGTTCAAAAAAGTTCGTTTTTTTTTCGGCACTTTCCAGAAAAAAAAAACATGTGGCAACAATGTCAAGAAAAACTTGAAGTAAATGTAGAAGGTCTAGTGAAAACTGCATCTCGATATCTTTTTTAATTCTCGAGTTATAAGTTGTTAAAATGTGTCAATTTATAGATGGACAATGCAGATTTTTTATCTGAAATGTTAGACAATTTTTTGTTTGTACATTTTTAGTAATTTTTTTGTTTTTGGTCTATCATCTGTTTTATAATGAATTTCTGTTATTTTAAACCTACTTGGCGACATTACTTAAAACTTGAAATTCAAAACGTTTCTTTTCCGTAATTCAACCAGTTTTTGATTTTCACATTTTTAAATTAATAAAAAAAAAACTATTAAAACCATTTTTATTTCGAAAATACTTAAATATCGATAAAATATTACTTATTTCACAAATTTTACTTATAACTTATTTAAAATATTCTTATACACATATATTTTTAGTTTCCAGAATTCTGTGCATCAGCGTCATAGCTTCCATTTACCCCACAGAGACTATATTGATAATTATTGGTCATTGGTTTGTGATGACTCTGTGGTTGGCATGTACCAGCGCCAAAAATAACTTCTGTGATCATAATTCTCTGTACGACTTCCTTTTTTACTGTATCCTAGGTGCGGTTTACATATTTACGCATGTTGTATTGGTAAGTGTATCTCTTAAGCTAATTTTTTTCGTACCAAAATATTTCATCAAGTTTCATAAAATTAATTAACTTGAAAATTTTACACTACCCAAAAAAAGAGTTATTAATCAAATCATATTTTCAAGTATCCAAAAGATTTTCGTAAGGAGTTATAGAAAAATGTTTACAAGAAACGTAGCTATTGTAGGCCAGTCAGTAAATACATCCAATTTTGAACATTTCACATTAATTATAAAAGTTTGAAAATTTACAACCATTTCCAAGGTCCGGAACTAGTTTTTTTTACCACCTTTCGTGTGTAATTCTTGATACAAACTAATATATCAACGCCAATGTACCGCTGAGACGTGGCGTCTAAAGGGTATCCTCTGACTTGATTGAACGTATTTCGATGCCACCGACCGTTGCATCGACGCGACTGCAACAAACGTGCGTTAGCACTGGCTCTTAAAATGCGGATGTTACTTGGGTTGTTATTTCATCTTGTAAATCTGAATCATTTATCACAATATCTGCATTAAATATATGTTACAATATTCGATAGGCATTTCTTACTAAAGTTACGTTAAGAAATATTTTATTAAACTCGGATTGCATGATGCGTCATTTATAAAAGTATTTAAAATACCTATGTCGTTGAGACATAAAAATATTTGGTCCATCTACATTAGCCTGGTGTTTTTTTTTCTGTAGAGGGGAAACCGCTTGGCACCAAACACTGGGTCAATGTGTTTGGTAGTGTCGGGCGCAACTCCGACAAAAATCCCTCCGCTGCCTTTTCGTGGTATACCAGGGACTGCCGTTTGGCATTGCTTCTAGTAGAATGGGCGCTGTGTCTGTTGTTATGTCTATCTCCTCTCCCTCTGTCTGACATCGGCTTCTTTCTTGCTTAGTACTACCGTTGCGAAGTGGCTTATATCATTCCAGTTGTTTTGGTTTACTAACATTTTGTTGACTATATTTTCCGGATTTATGTTCCCAATCTTGATTTCTAGCATCGTCCTTTCATTGCTCCATCTTTGGCATTCAAAAATTGTGTGCTCTACTGTGTCTATTTCCCTGCAGTAATGACATTCATTGCTCTCTGTGACGTGGAACCTATATCGGTATGTCTGAAAACACCCGTGTCCGGAGATTAGCTCTGTAAGGTAGTAAGAGACCTCGCCATGATTTCTTGTAGCCCATAGCTTAATATTGTGGATTAGCCTTTTCGTCCAATGACTTTTATAAGTTTCTCGTTGCCATTTTTGTTGCCATTTCTGAATTGTGTGGTCAGAAGCCTCTCTTTTATCCATGGCCATTTCGCATAGCATAACTTTCTTCCACTAATATATGGATAGGGGTTGTTCTGGCGATGACCAATAATGCATCCGTTGAGGTTGTTCGGTATGCGCAGGCAAATTTTGATTGCTACTTTTCTTTGAATTTTTAGGAGAGTGTTCCTATATATTTGTCTTTCCATGGCTCGTTTCCATGGCTCGTTTCCATGTCGTTGCCCTATAAAGTATTATGGACATAGCTACGCTGCACAAAATTCTCCGGTTTCCTTCTCGCGGTCCTCCAGTGTTGGGTAGAATTCTGCTAATATTTGCTACGACCCTTTCCGCTTTTTTAGCCACATTTTTGACATGTTCCATTCTCATGTTATGGTCAAAGTATACTCCAAGATATTTGATTTCTTTTTGGCTCGTTACTAGTACGTCCTCCTGCTAATATAACCTTCTCAGTTTTTTGTGGGGCTAGGGCTAGTCTTTTTGCTGTCAACCATTGTGTTATATTTTCTAGGACCTCATTTGCCGTTGTTTGCAATTTTTCCGCGTCTTTCCCCGTCACTACTATGCCTACATCGTCCGCGTAGCCTACTAGCTTCACCTCGCGTGGTATCGGGAGTTTTAGGATGCCATCGTAGTACACATTCCATAACATTGGTCCTATAACAGAGCCTTGTGGTACTCCGCACGTCATTCTTCTCATTTTTCCTTGTCCCTATGAGGAGCCACCTGTCTTCTAGATAGCTGGCCACTAGGTTATACGTTTGTGGGGTTACACCTTGGTTTCTCAGTTCCTCTAGAATTCCATCCCACGGGGCAGAATTAAAGTCATTTTTTACATCTATTGTAATGAGGGCACACCTTTTATCTGCCTGCTCTCTCATTTGCCTCGTCTGCTATTTGCTGAACTTTTTCCATAGCGTCCATGGTTGATCTGCCCTCTAGGAAACCATATTGTTCACTAGATAGGTCACCGTTTCTCTCTATTTTCCTCTTCAGCCTTCATAGGAGAAGATGCTTAATCAATTTTGCAAATACATTAAGGAGATAGATAGGCCTATATGTCCTGTTCATTTGTTCTCTTTTGTTTTTTCGAAAAGTACCAGTTTTCCTACTTTCCATTGTTTAGGGAACGTTTCTTTTGGCCAACATCTGTTAAATGTCTAGAACGTATCCTGTGAGAATTTTAACTACCGCCTTCACTACCTCTGCAGGTATGCCATCAGGACCCGGGGCTTTCTTCTCCTTTAACTTATTACTGGCTTCTAGCAGTTCGTCCTTTGTGAAGGAGGGTATGTCTTGTTCTCTTACTGGCATTCTTTCCCACTTTCTGGTCAGGTGCGTCGGGAATAACTCCTGTGGCACCATTATTTGTTGTTCGTCTTCTAAGGTTATCGGAGCGTGTCCTTTGTATTTGTCCATGACAATTTTATACCCTTAACCCCATATGTCCAGGTCCACTTCTTGCACCAGTTTCTGCCATGCATTCTTTTTAGTTTCCGCGATAGCTTTCTTAAGGATGGTCCTATTTTCTCGGTATCTTTCCGTACATTCTTGCTTTATGTTTGGATTGTTGTTTTTGTTTGCCCTAGTCATGGCTCTTTTGGCTTAAATTAAATAAATATGAGTTAATATTTTGGATGACCCAAATAAATTCAAAATAGAAGTGACCTATTCTTCGCTGACCTATTCTAAATTGGAAACATTTTCTTCTGATTGCTCTACAAACAAAGCTATTATAATTTTTTTGTTCAACAGGTTGAGGGCCCAACATGTTGCAAGTACTTAATCTTCTATTGCGTATTATTCGCCGAGAATACCATCGCAAACGTTGTATGGATAGTAACAGCAGACGAAGAATTGCGAGACAAAGTTTACTACTTGCCTATTATATTATTAAACGTTATACCTTTCATATTCGGTATCCTATTTATGTTGCTCTACTACAAAGTTTTTCATCCTAGCCTGAGCGCGGGGTACAGCAGGCAGCAAAGTCAACTCGCGGTGGGGGTCGAGAGCTAGCAAGAAATGGTCCAGATATAATTATTCCTATGTTTTTTATGTAAGCCTTGTAAGTATGTTTATATATACTTAATGACAACGATTACTAGCGAAAAATATTTTTAAATGTGTCATTCTTGCCTGTATATTTATATGAAACTTAGTTGTCTTTAACATTTATCTTTATCAGGGTCGATCTTTTCATCTTCGTATAAAGTTCCAGATATATTGAGAGTTACTATCTGTCAGATAACTAATTTTCTATCTTTTTAAGTAAATAATATATAGGGTAGGTATCTAGTAGTTTTTAAACTTATGCGGTTTATCTATCAGTGAAGTATATTATCAGGAATGCCATAAGTAAGATAAGTTATCTTTCAGAAGTTAGATTTATCCAGAAGTGAAAAGATTACAATTTTAAGTTATCTGGGAGATAACAATTATCTGGCAATTTATCTTATGGTGAAAAAGGTTGGGCTTTTAGGTAATTTTTATCTCCCAAATAACTTTAAACTGTAATCTTTTCACTTCTGGATAAATCTAACTTCTGAAAGATAACTTATCTTACTTATGGAATTCCTGATAAAATACTTCACTGATGGATAAACCGCATAAGGTTAAAAACTACTGGATACCTACCCTATATATTATTTACTTGAAAATACAGAAAATTAGTTATCTGACAGATAGTAACTCTCAAGATAATGTATCCGTTAGTTATCTGGAACTTTATATGAAGATGAAAAGATCGACCCTGATAAAGATAAATGTGGCTGGTATATCTTAAACAGAAAATAATTATTACTGTATTATTTTCGTTTAGAAAACGACACCGACTAGTTAACATTTTTACACAGATTGCTGTTGGTTAGAGTTGTTTTTAATTGAAAGTTTTTTTTTTGTAGAATTAGAAATAATGGCGGTTTTTGTATATTAAAAAAAATTTTTCTTGGGGATATTTAATATGAAAAAAATTTGTAGAAATTGTGTCATAATTTATAGATTTGCACTAGTGAAATGAATGTCTTAGAGTGTGACACTACATTATTGTTTTTGTTTGGAGATGTATCTCATTCTGCAGGCAGAGTATTTTTGATACATAATTTAAATAGGTAACATTACAGGGTGTCCCACTATAAAGTAACATAATATATTTTGACAGCTTATAACTCAAGAATGGAAGAAGATATCGACGTGCAGTTTTCGTTAAACTTCTTAAATTTGCTTTAAGTTTTTGTTGACAGTTGCCAAATGTATATTTTTTCCCTAAACCCCGGAAAAAAATTTGCCTTCTTTTTTAAATCAAATTATCAATTTACTTTAAATAGTACACCCTATATATTTTCATACCATCTGAAAATTCTTTTATTTCCCTTTTCACAAATGTATACATTGTAATTATTTCAAGTTTGGGGGAGATATTTTTACACATTTTAACAACTTATAATTTGAGAATAAAAAAACGAGTGCAGTTTTCGTTAAACTTCTTAAATTTGCTTTAAGTTTTTGTTGACAGTTGCCAAATGTATATTTTTTCCCTAAACCCCGGAAAAAAATTTGCCTTATTTTTAAGCCAAATTATCGGTTTATTTTAAATAGAGCACCCTATATATTCTCATACTATCTGAAATTCCCTTTATTTCCTTTTTCAAAAATATATACATTATAATTATTTATTTAAGGTTTGGGGCAGATATTTTTACACATTTTAACAGCTTATAATTCGAAAATGGAAAAACGAGTGCAGTTTTCGTTAAACTTCTTAAATTTACTTTTAGTTTTGTTTACATAGTTGCCAAATCTATATTTTTTCCTAAACTCCCGGAAAAAAAATTGCCTAATTTTTGAAACCAAATTATCGATTTTCCCTATATATTTTCATATCATCTAAAAGTCCTTTTATTCCCCTTTTCAAAAATGTATACATTGTAATTACTTATTTTAACAACTTATAACTTGAGAATGAAAAAACGAGTGCACTTTTCGTTAAACTTATTAAATTTACTTCAAGTTTTGTCGACATAGTTGCCAAATATATATTTTTTCCCTAAATTGCCGGAAAAAAATTTACCTTCTTTTTTAAACGAAATTATCGATTTACTTTAAATAGAATACCCTATATAATTTCGTACCATCTGAAAGTTCATTTCTTCCCCTTTTCCAAAATGTATACATTGTGATTATTTATTAAAGCTTTGGGGTAGATATTTTTACAAATTTTAATAGTTTATGATTCGAGAGTGGAAAAACGACGTGCAGTTTTCGCTAAACTTCTTACATTTGTTTCAAGTTTTTGTTGACACAGTTGCCAAATGTATATTTTTTCCCTAAACTGCCGGAAAAAGATTTGCCTTTTTTTAAGCCAAATTATCGGTTTACTTTAAATAGAACACCCTATATATTTTTATACCATCTGCAATTCCTTTTATTCTCTTTTTCAAAAATGTATGCATTGTAATTATTTATTCAAGGTTTGGGGAAGATATTTGTACACATTTTAACAGCTTATAATTCGAGAATGGAAAAACGACATGCAGTTTTCGCTAAACTTCTTACATTTGCTCCAAGGTTTTGTTGACATAGTTGCCAAATCTATAATTTTTTCCCTAAACCGTCGGAAAAAAATTTGACTTTTTTTAAAGCCAAATTATCAATTTACTTTAAACAGAACACCCTATATTTTTTTATACCATCTAAAAGTTCATTTCTTCCCCTTTTCCAAAATGTATATATTGTGATTATTTATTAAAGCTTTGAGGGAGATATTTTTACAAATTTTAACAGTTTATGATTCGAGAATGAAAAAACGTGTGTAGATTTCGTTAAACTTCTTAAATTTGCTTTAAGTTTTTGTTGACATAGTTGCCAAATGTATATTTTCCCCCTAAACTCCCGGAAAAAAATTTGCCTTCTTTTTTAAACCAAATTATCAATTTACTTTAGAACACCATATATTTTTCATAGCATCTGAAAGTCCCTTTTTCCCCTTTTCTAAAATGTATACATTGTGACTATTTATTAAAACTTTGGGGGAGATATTTTTACAAATTTTAACAGGTTATGATTCGAGAATGGAAAAACGACATGCAGTTTTTGATAAACTTCTTAAATTTGCTTTAGATTTTTGTCGACATAGTTGCCAAATGTATATTGTTTCCCTAAACCCCGAAAACAAAAATTGTCTTATTTTTAAGCCAAATTATTGGTTTTCTTTAAATAGAACACCCTATATATTTTCATACCATCTGAAAGTCCTTTTATTCCCCTTTTCAAAAATGTATACATTATAATTATTTAAGGTTTGGAGAAAATATTTTTACACATTTTAACAGCTTATAACTCGAGAATGGAAAAACCAGTGCAGTTTTTTTAAACTTCTTAAATTTCCTTTAATTTTTTCTTGACATAGTTGCCAAGTGTATATTTTTTCCAAAAAATATCGGAAAAATTTGCCTTTTTTTAAGCCAAATTATCGATTTACTTTAAATACGAGTAGTACACCCTATATATTTTTATACCATCTAAAAGTCCTTTTATTCCCCTTTTCAAAAATGTATACAGGTTTGGAGGAGATATTTTTTTATGAATTTTTGGAATTTTTTATTAATCTTTAATAAATTTTGATAGGTGTATTTTTTGCTTTATTTCAAATAAAAAATGATCTGATACTCTTATAATCAACTGTGTCCTTTTTCCAAAGTCGGTAAAATGCCAATTTTTCAGTTAAAAAATCTGGTACTTTCGAGTCGTAGAAATTGAAGCAACCCCTAAATTCCCACTTTCTAAAAAAAAAACATCGATTGTGGAGGCCATTTACACTCTCGAGGCACATTCGTGATTGTGGCATTGGTAACTTTCAAGATTAATACTTCTGGTAAAGTACAAATGCCTAATTTGCACATTCGTGGTTTTGGCATTGTACCAACGATATTAGACACCGTTTTATCGAGGTGGTTTTTAAAAAAATATAACTGACGTTAAGAAATGTCAAATAATTTATGTGAAATAGATGAAATGCCATTTTTCCGGCAATTTCGGGAAAAAATATAAATTTGGCAACTATGTCGATAAAACCTTAACGCAAATGTAGCGTCAATATGTTTTTCTATTCTCGAGTTATAAGCTGTTAAAATGTGTTACTTTATACTGGAACACCCTGTATTTTGGATGAATAAGCCATCCATATAATATTTAATTTATTGTTTATTTAATAGTTTAATTAGTTCAATTATTTTTACATTGGGAAATAAATTTTAGTAACCTTGAATTGGTTAAAATTGTATATCCAAGTAATGGCGACTGAAAAAAAAATGGCCATCTTCAACCAAGATGTCGGTGGCATAATGTTAAATGCTTAAGATTGATGATATTTCTTTTCCAATTGTGTATTAAAGTCATTGAAATAAATATTTATAAATAACATTTTGTAAAACTCATATTTAATAAAAAAATCGCAATGGTTCAGGTCGGGTGATCTCGTTGGCCACATAATAAAGTTACAGTCGTGAATTTTTACATATTACTCTCCCGAATCGGTGGATTAGACGAAATGGACCAGTTTCGTGGCCACTAAGGTCGCCAGATTTAAATCCATGGGATTTTTTCTAATTTTTGAGTTTTTCGATCTTATTTTAATGACTTCCTAGACACAGTTAGAAAAGAAATGTACTTAGGAAGCACCAAGTATTTAGTATAACGTTCACATCTATTTTAAATCGGGTTTGTTTATTTATCAAAAATAAAATAGCAATTATTTGACATTACATTGTTGTCAGCGTTGCCACGTTATTATTACCCCAATCTTACTATACACAGTGAAAAGGATAATATTTGACTTTCATAGCCATGTCCGATTAAAAAATAGATGTGAACATATAAATAAAAGCTTCAACTTTTAAAGCTGCCTTTAAAAATGGTTTCGTACAAATGCGATGTTGCCGCTGTTTAGTAGCGTGGTTTTTTTATAATATAAGCTCCTCTAAAGAACAACGATATGTTAACTCATATTTATTTTGTAGTTC